TACCGGTGGATCTCCAAGATGCCATCTCCCGCTCCATGGCAGCTATCCAATGAGAGGCCCAGAGTCCCGAGGTGGCCTCAGTGTAGGTGTCGAGATGTCAAAGGCGTCTGGGTCACCTTTAGGGACTAGCAGCGTGGAACACAGATGGGGAGCGGCCTCTGACAGGAAAGCAAGCTCGTACTGTCTGTCCTCTAGGACGTCACTGCCAAGGGCAGCCACACCCCCGACTGACGAGGGGCACGCAGGGTCAGAGACCAGAGCGGTGGCGTAGTCAAGGCGTCGGGTAGCGGCGAAGTCAGTGACAGCAGCACCGAGAGCCGAGAGACTCGAGACAGGAACGGGCGGGTCGGTAACAAGAGTGGCAAGGACACGAGAATCAAGGGGACGCACGGCACGGAGGAAGTCAAAGAACGGAGGCGGTGCCACGGCAAGCGACGATGGAAGAGGAGCCGGGAGGAGCGGAGGAGCACGAGGCGCGTGGGAGCGAAGCAACATAGGGTGAGAACTCGGAACAGGGGAGGTAGGCCAAGCACGAGACGGACGACGAGCCGAGACGTGAGACGGAGAAGTCGGGTTATGAGAGAGCGGAGGAGACACAGGAGGAGAACGAGGAGGGAAACAAGCTATAGAAGAGTCTGCTAGAGGACACACAGGGCTGTAGACTGGCAAATGAGGAGGCGGTGGCGACCGAGGAGGCACAGAGGGGCGGTCAAGGGAAGGAAGGCCGAGGAGGCGACGAGCGGACACCAGCGGCGACTGCTGCGGCTGCTGGCCGACGCCAACACCAGAGCCTCGAGCGGCACCATGACTCCCTCCGAGAAGCCCAACGCTAGCACCCCTAGAATAGGAACCCGCTCCAGAACCCGCTCCGGCACGCTCCCTAGCATCCCCAAAATGCACAAACCCTAGCGGTGGTGACGACGGTGGCCGTGGCTGCGGCGGCGACGTGAGAAGAGACCGGGACGGGGACAGGCAGTGGAAGGGACTCCGCCGAGCCGCGAGAGTCAGCAGACTCCTCGGCAGGGACAACCGACGGGAAGGGGGGTGACGTGAGACACACCAGACGGGGCAAGGCGGGGAGGGGGAGGAGCAGGGGCGACCGGGGGGGGGAAACCAGGAACCGGGGGGGAGTAACCGGGGGACCACGGTGGGGAAAACAGTGGTAGAAGGAGACGGACTCGTCAAATGCGACGTCGCGAGAGTAAAAGAAACGGTGAGACGGCGGGTAGTAGAAGTACCAGTCAGACGAGTCGAGGGGGAAACCTAGGAAGACACAGGGGACGGTGCGGGCAGTGAGCTTGTCCATGCCAGAGGCAAGAACATGAGCAAGGCAGCCCTAGACGTGGAATGCAGACGCATCACGAGGAGACCATGGGATAAGAACGTCGGGCACGTCGGCCTTCCGCTCTAGGGGAAACACGGTGGTGTCGCTAGTGTAGTCGTCGACTAGTACTAGGAAGTAACGCTCACGACGCGGCCCATGGACAGGGGCGGGGCCCCAGACGTCCATGTGCAGGGTCTGCAATTGTGCAGTGATGGGGGGGAACGAGGAGGAATGAGGGGCATGGCGGAGCCGGCCCTCGACGCAGGGGGTGCACGGAGGCCCTGCCGAGGAGGGGAGCGCAGGGAACGACGCAGGGAGACCTAAGACAAGACCGTGTTGAGACATGTGACGGAGGCGTGTGAGGGCGGGGTGACCAAGGAGGTGGTGCCATAGAAGCGACGGGTGAGTAAGCGACCGACACGAGCAAGCCGCAGCAACCTGAGTAGACGCTGCCACCTGGGGGGGCGTCCCAACCGGAGGGGACGCCGTGTCTAGCGTGAACAGGCCAGACACCGGGTCCTGTGGGAACGTGGTGAGGGGGGCACTAGTGGCGTCCTCGGTACAGACAGCGTACCTCTCGTGACCAGGGAAAGTAGTGGTGATGCTGAGGTCCTGAAGACAGCCGACACCGACTAGATTCCGAGAGAACGAGGGGATGTGCAGGCCTGTAAGAGAGCCCGAAGGAACCGCCGGACAGGGGAGGGTAGTGGAACTATGGGCGACTACCGGACCTGAGGAAGGGTCTGCTAGGGCAACTGCAGCAGGGACGGCAAGCGGCGTAAGCGTAGTGTGGTCCCGAAAGAACCGTAATGCGCCAGAGTCGAGAGTGAAGGAGAGCGCGGCAATGGCGGCTGGGGGCGGAGGAGCTAGGGTGGAGGCAAGGCTAAACAAAGCAAAGGGTCCTACGCCTGACGCAGAAGGGGAACCTAAACTAGGCACACTGGGCACACCTACACTAGGCAGCACGGGGTAACAGAAATCGGTCACACTAGATTCATCGACATACAACACATACAATGCAGAGCTAATCTCATCCATGTCCATATCAAAGATCCTAACACCACGGCGGAGCAGAATGTGCCAATCGGGGAGGTTCGGCGCGGGGCCGAAGCGAAGACGAAACAGGTCGTCCAGGTGACTGAAACAGCGAGTGGGGGTATGACCAATCTTACCGCACACGAGGTTGCGGCGAGGACCGGTCTGGAGCTGGTACTGGCAGCGCCCGTCACTCACACCACCACCCAACGACAAGCTATGCGCACGACCACCGCGACCACCACCACCACCGGCGCCAGGCCACCCAGGCGGGAGGCAGCCGACCCTCTGCTACGACTGCTGCTGGTGCTGCTGCGGCTGCTGCTGCTGGTCAAGCTGTGGCGCCTGCTGCTGCTCCCGCTGGGGCTGCTGCTCCGAGGCACCAGCCCCAGCCCCCTCGTCGGTACTACCGCCAGCGGATGAACCACCTCCATCACCACCTCCACCCCCTCCTCCACTACCACCTCCGCGCCCAGCCTTGGGGCGGCGAGCCTTACCATAACGGGACTGCGCTGCGGCCACCGCGGCAGTGGTCTCAGCAGCAGGGGCTGTCTCAGCTACAGCCGCAGAACCATCAGAGTAAGTGCACTGAGCAGGAGCACAACCCTGAAAGATAGGGACCGGCGCAGTACCGCTAGACTGGGCGATAGAGCGCTGACGGGTCTCTATGGCAGACAGGGTGTCGACAAAGTCAGGGAGGGTGAGGTCAGCGAGGTGCAGACTCAGATAGGGGGCTGGAACACATGAAGCTGGGCCTCAGTGCAGGCAGCGCGCCAGCTCGCGTTGAGCGTGCGCAGGTGCGTGGCCAGGTCAGCGACAGTGGAGAAAGACGCGAGATCAGGGAAGAGCATGGGAAGAATCGGGCGGCCGGCAGAGGCAGAGGACGGGTTGGAATAATGCTCGACAACAGCCTCTAGGAACTCCTGTGCAGTCCTGACCGACTTAAAGCGGGGGTGCTCAGACAGGGGGAGAGCATGGCTAATCACGAGCTGAGCGACAGCGTCACGCCATAGCAAGACAGCACGGGCTAGGGCAGCAGCGTTGGCGGACTCACGGTTAGAGCAGCGGGGAGAGCAGCAGGGGGGTCAGTGCAGGGGAGCGTACCGTCAATGTGGACTGCAAGGGAGTGGCCGTCCTGCCGCTGACCAGTGAGATGATGGCGTAGGTCGACGTGCCATGCGTCGAACTCAACCGGCTGACCCTCCACGTCAAAGTGCAGCACCGAGTCCGTCATTAAGGCCGCTGCAGCCGCGAACAGGCGGTGAGGGGCGGGACGGAGCGATGAGGAGCAGTGGGGAGCAGTGCAGTACGGTGCAGTGCGGTGGAATGCGGTGTAGTGCAGCTCCACGTGGTGCAGAGTGGTGCAGTGCAGTGGGGCGCCGTGCAGTGCGGTGCCACGCGGTGCAGAGCGGTGCAGTGCGGTGGGGCGAGGTGCAGTGCAGGTCAGTGAGGTGGGGCATGGTGTAGTGCGGTGGGGCGCGGTGCAGTGCGGTGCTGAGCGGTGCAGCACGGTGGGGCGCGGTGCAAGACGGTGGAGAGGGCCGGTTTAGTGAGCGGGGACCGGGAAACACGGCGGCGTGGGGGGGGGGAAAGGGGGGGGGGGGGGGGGCGCTGAGCAGCTGGGCGACGGGGCCACGGGGCGGCTGGGCGAAGGGGCTGCGAAGCAGCGGGGCGGCTGGGCGACGGGGCCGCGGAGCCGCGGGGCGGCTGGACGACGAGGCCGCGGAGCGGCTGGGCGACGGGGCCGCGGGGCGGCTAGGCGACGGGGCGGCGAGGTGCTAGGTGACGGGGCGACGAGGCCATGGGCGACTATGGGCGAGGCAACGGGGCCACGGGGCCATTGGGGCGGCTAGGCGCTAGGTGACGGGGCGACGGGGCCACGGGCAGCTAGGCGCTAGGTGACGGGGCCGCGGGGCCAGCGGGGCGGCGAGGCGCTAGGTGACGGGGCGACGAGGCCACGGGCGGCTAGGCGCGAGGTGACGGGGCCGCGGGGCCAGCAGGGCGGCTAGGCGCTAGGTGACGGGGCGACGGGGCCACGGGCGGCTAGGCTCTAAGTGACGGGGCCGCGGGGCCAGCGGGGCGGCTAGGCGCTGGGTGGCGGGCCAACGGGGCCACGGGCGGCTAGGCGCTAGGGAACGGGGCCGCGGGGCCAGCAGGCGCTAGGAGACGGGGCCGACGGGCCAGCTAGGCAATGGGGCAGCGGGGCCAGTGGGGCGGTGGGGCCGGCTAGGACCTAAGGTGGAAGCGCGGGTGGGCGGGGGGGACCTAACCTACTCATGATACTATCTCAGAGTTAGAATTTTTTAGTAGAATGGGAGTGTACAGGGGTATATAGCTTGTGGGTTTTACTGTCTATGGCATGACCCTATGTAGTCTACTAAACATACACACATATGTTTGACACAAATAACCGTCCCGGTATTACAGTATGGGTGGTTACCCGAGTCGCGCTTACAGAGTTGTCAAGGGATATGTACCCCTCGAAGTGCATAACAAATTAGAAACTTCATGTTCTTTTGTGTTATTATATGAACACTTGTATCTCTTTGCAATAATTAATCACTTCCTCTCACAGCAGTGTAAGCCTTTAAGGGTTCATCAAGACCTTTTCTGCACTATCAAGCATTCTGTTACAGGGACTTCTGAAAATATTGTTGGGCTTTTCTCAGCCTGACATCAAACGTCTGAAGTAATTCATCCTGTACGCGTAGACGGCTTTGAAATAATGCTAGGGTTTTAACACAGCTTTTTCTGTAATTTGATACCTAACAAATATGCTTGAAAGACCGCGATAGGGAAGGGTAAAAAAGAACCTGTGTTATGCAACTAGCCCCTTTCACTGTCAAGGGAGATACGCTCTCTTCATAAACTTGACACCCACATCACCATGGCCAAACCCGAAACCCTTCCAGTTAAGCCTCCTACAGCCTGCCCCATCTTCATTTAGGCCTTGTCGTCGATGTGTTTCCTGAGGACCTCCACCACGGACTTAAAGGCAAACCACTCAGGGATGTCTTCGCCCGCGCGCAGCTTGCGCCTGAACTCCGTACCGGACAGCTTCTTCAGGTGGTACCCCTTCTCCGTCGCCACATCAGCAGTCACATACCCCTCCTCCTCTGTGTACACCTGGAGTGGTGGCGGGGAGGGGATAGTGCGGACGTGGCATGGGTTGTGGGAGAGAGAGGGGAGAGAGTGCGATGCATGGCCTGCTCAGAGGAGGGATGCTGGCTATAGAGGGAGGTAAGTCACACAGGGATAGGGAGCACAGATAGGAAGAACACAGGGCAGGGATATGGATCAGGGAATGGACGCAACAGGTGGAGTGAGGAACGAACAGCTTTAAAAAAAACTTTCAAGCGCAGAATGAAAGCAACTCACAGCCTCGCCCATTAGATAGCAGGAGCGAAGTGAGAAAGGGGTAAAGGGGGTCGGGGGGGGGGGAGGGGGGAAGAAGGGAATGTGTGGGAGTGGGGGGCAAGGACAACATACCAGGTTCAAGGAAGGAACAGTGTCCATTCCGAGCTCAGCGGAGTGCAGCTTGGCGAAATCCTAATGCACACGCACAGGCAGGCAGTGACGGGAGGAGAGGACACAATCAACAAGACGCAACACGATCACGCTGCAGGGGAACAGAGCGATTGCCCTAAGGGGTCCGGCAGGCCTCGTCCCAACCAACACTGCAGCAGGAATCGAAACGCGAGTGCCCACATCGTCACGTCACCTCTGACCACCTTGCAGGTGGCAGCCTCCCCCTTCTAACACACACACCCGCCCACCCACCAACCCAAACAGTCCAACCCACACCCACCCACCCAGACACACACACACATCCCCACCCCCACCCTCCCCCTCCCCTCCTCCCCCTCGCCCTGTCTCACCTGTGCGTCGTAGGGCCCGTAGAAGTCGTCGCCGGTGCGGCTGCTCTTGGAGCCAGCCATGTCACGGCCGATGATGAAGTGCGTGCACCCGTAGTTCTTGCGCAGAATCATGTGCTGAATCGCCTCGCGCGGCCCCGCCATATGCATCGAGTACGGCAGGTACGCCCACCTGGGGGGGGGGGGAGAGGGAGGAGTGGGAAGGGGGGAGCAAGGGAATGAGGGAATGACGGAATAGGAGCCGAGGAGAGAGGGAGTTGCGAACGAAGTTGGCGGAGTAGGGTCCCATGAGGAAGGCAATGCAGCAACGACTGGACACGCGGCAGCGGCAGCAGCGGGTGAGGTGGGAATGGCTGGGCTGGGAGCAGAGCACACTCACTGCACGCGCGGGTCGTGCTTCTCCTCCTTGAGCACCAGGTACGTCTCGTAGCGCACGGGCCCGGGCACGTCGTCCGCTTGCGTGGGGCCGCACGTCGGATGCACCAGCACTATGCCGTCCTGGCGAAGGACAGAGCAAGGCAGACAACCAGGGATGCATGTGTGAGACGTTTTCAAGCGAGGAAACTTCCTTGTACACACACTGTGACTCGCATATGGGGGGGGCGAGTGAACAAGGGGTAGAGCGAGACAGGGAGGGGTGAGAGGGGGAAGAGCGGGGAGGGGGGCGTGAGAGAGGAAAAAGGGAGGGGAAGAGTAGAGGAAGCCTAAGAGAGAGGAAGGGAGGAGTTGTGAGCCAGGGAGGTCGGGTGCGAGGGAGAGCAGACGCACCTCGCCGACGTTCTCGGCGAAGAGCGACCGGGAGAAGAGCTCGTAGTGCGCGCGGTGCACGGGGTTGCGGCACTGGAACGCCACCACGTCGATGTGCGGCGCCAGCTCGGCGCGCACCTCCGCGGGCGTCTTGCAAGGGAAGACGCGGCGGGGGATGGTGAAGCCCCACACCTTGCCGCCGATGTACCACGGCCCGCGCTCAGTCGCCACCATCAGCGTGCCGGGGTGCTCCAGCGAGGAGGAGCTGGGCGCGCGGGAACGAAGGGGGACACGGGGGCGTTGCAGAGGTTAGAGCCGTTGCCGGTACGGCACGGGGACACTGCTACGTTAATCGAGAGCCATCGGCGGATGAAATCGGGGAAAAGACCGGAGAAGCGAGGCCGTGTGCACACATGGATCAGGGACACGTGGCATGTAAGATCGGAGTCAGCGCGCAGGCTCGAAACGCGCGAGCAACACGTGACGTGGCAGAGAGAGAGAGAGAGAGAGAGAGAGAGAGAGAGAGAGAGAGAGAGAGAGAGAGAGAGAGAGAGAGAGAGAGAGAGAGAGAGACATGCGTAGCGTAGTGTAGAGTACCCGTAGCACTTGAAGGTCTCCTTGACCTTGTCGGGCTGCCACTTGCTCTCGACCTCCATGACGGCCAACACCTCGCCGTGGTAGTGCAGCGCCACGCGCTGCCCCACCTGGATCGACGGGTCGAACGTGTCCATCACCACCGGCAGCCCGAACAGCAGGTCCGAGCCTGCCACGCAGGTACGGAAAGGAGGACGAGCGGAAGGATCATGAAAGGGTGGGGAAGGAAGGTGAGCGGGAGAGAGGGGGGGTGACGAGGAGGGAGAGAGCGGAAGAGCGGGGGAGGGAGAGAGTAAGGGAGAGAGAGATGGTGAGGGGAGACGAGGGAAAGAAGGGGGGAAGAGAGTGGGGAACGGAGAGCCACGACAAGTGACGAGCGCTCACCCGGCAGGCGCATGTTGTCGACGACGTAGTTGTACACGTCCTCGGTCATGAAGCCCTCGAGCGGCGAGAAGCCGCCGACAGCGAGCACCTCGACGTCGCACGACTGGCGCTCGTTGAGGTCCATCTTGACGCCCTTGCAGCTGGCCAGCAGCTCCTCCTTCTCCTTCTGGTCCGTCACCATCAGATTCACCAGCTTCCCGCCGTGCGGCTCCTGACGCCCGTCCGGCCCGCGCCGGGCGATCTTCCTGAGATTAGGAAGCACCGGGTAAAAGGGCGGCAGGGACATTATGATCAGGCCATGAAAATGCCAGTCTGCTCCATTTTCTTGTTCATAATGGAAACTCGTGGTTCAATCCGCTAGATCTGTGTTCAGTGGTACGAGACGAACAAAAACCTCCGAGTGACTTACGATTTCGAGGCAGCTGCAGCAGAAGCGGCGAAGCCACGCTGAGCAGTTGGTGGAATGCTGGGTCCCCCAGTCATCTGCATCACGACAAGACGCACCATGAGACAGGAGCCAGCTTGAGCGCGACATAAAAAACATGATCTTACGAGGAAACGGATTCTGGCCACCAGGCACGTCTTATAATAAGACTCGAGCTCATGGCATGGCCAGATCACTGATCACTGATGTAGCCAACGCGTAAACTTTCACGATAAACGTAAAAGAAGAAGCTAATACACAGTTCACACAGCTAACCCGTTAAAATACCTTATCCATGAGGAAGGGACTGGCGGCTGGAACGCACGACTCCAATATGGACGGCGTCGCAAGCTCCCTTTGAGCGATCGCGACGGAGCTGCGAGCGGCCCGAGCAAGGAGAGCAGGCAGACGCCTCCTCAGATGTGCGGCCATGCTTTCGGAGCAGTCGAGGCTGACAGATCACACACACAGAGCAGAGTGATGCGTGACGCAATGCAAGAGCCTAGTAACCAGGCAACCAACTGCTCAAGGAAGGTACGCCCTGGGAATACTGCAATTTTGATGTCTGCAAAGCTGGAGCAGAGGTTTTCGGAGTGAACCCCCGTGGCCAGTTTGGTTGGGTACTGATGGGTTGGAATCGGCCGGGCTGGACTGCTGGTGATCTCGAGATTGGTGGATGCTGCTGGTTGGCTGGGCTGTTTGCGGGCCGACGGAGGAGAGGCTGTGGAGTGAAAATGGGGGTGAGATCTGGATCGTCGAACTGGGAGCTCAGAAATAGTGCTGCGCTGTCCCCGACTGATACCAGATGGAGGAGCGGATGATGAGCCACGTGGCATGGGAAAGTGGCCACCATTCAGAGCTCAGGCGACCTGCCTCCATTTTCGGGCTGGGACCGGAAGCATTACCACACCGAAGCGCGAAAAATTCGCGAACAGAGGATCTGGACAAGCGCGAAGTTTTCGATTTCGCTGCCTCGGCAACAAACAGGCGCAGGGAAAGTCCGCTATGGTCAGGTCCGTCTCTGTTGTTACAATAAAACCCCGTTCCGTGACTCCCGAACCGAGGTATCTACTCTGCACACACGCCAACTCCCTTCCGTCCTAAATGGGACCTTGGTTTCCGAAACCAGCCGTTCTTTATTCCCCATGCTGGAAATGTGGTTTGATGGAACTGAAGGGAGAAGTGCCTGTCCAAGTGCGCCGAATTTCGCGGGAAGGGCTCTTTCGTTACGAGAAGATAAAACCGCCCCATATCGTGGTTAGGACGTATTCACACGCAAGACCAGGAACTACTCGGAGGTAGATCATATGGTTCCAGCAACAGCAGATTTGATAGCATTCTATACCAGCATCCTGTATTTCTGTGTATTCTTATGCAGTATCCCTCACTGCATTGAGCACTTGGTAGCATTTTTTTCCAACGTATGCATCAGAATTTACTAGCAGTAAACAATAAAAGTCTAAAGCTATATAAATCCACAATCCAGTCAATTCTTGTTTGTTGGAAAAAACAGCCAGGACGGTTATGATTTAAGGTATTTGGAATGAAAAGGATGCTACCATGAAGATTCATAAATGTGACTAGTCTGTCCTCTGAAATCTATGCTAAATTGGATAGGAAGTTTAATGAAAGCGTTTTATGGATCCAGTTGCACTCTGTAAAACACACCGTTTGCCGCGTCGCTTGTTCTTGGCGAGTCTCCGCCACGTCGGGCAGGGATCGCGTTTGCCCACGCGGTGCTTGTACTGTGCGAAGCTCTTCAGTCGTAAACTTGTTTCGCCACGGTTACGTAGTGTTGTAATAATTGCTGATTCGCCTTTACCCTCACGCAGTTGTTTCGCAAACCCGGCTCCCGAACAAACTTCCCCAACCAAACATTTTTTCACCTGGCTTCCCCCTTTTCCCCTCCACACCACAGCTCTACCTCCCCTTCCCAATGTTCCAATATCGAACGCCTGCGTCAAAGCCAGCACTGTAGCAAAGTTTGCTTTCGCTATATTTTCTTCCTCCGCTCCGCATCCTCTCCCCCGCCACCCACTCCTCTTCCCCCCAGACGGTCAAAGCCATGTGCTCGCTGGTGAGGCGCACAGTCCAACCTCCGCACCACCCCACCAACTCGCGCTTCCACTAGCCGTCTGTGGCGGAAAATGGGGTGGGAGGGTGCGGGGAGTTTCCGGCGGGGCCGCTGACTTGGGGGGAGTGGAGTTGGTCGGTTGGTTGGTTTTGGTGGACGAGGGGAGGGGAGGGGAGGGGAGGCGGTCACATGGCACGGCAAGCCCCCTTCCCCAGCAGCAGCAGCAGCAGCAGCAGCAGGGGGGATGTGGAAAAAAACGCCGCTCACCCACCCACCACGTATCCTTGACCTTCGTCACCCTGTTCCCATCCATCCCATCCCACCCACCCTCCCATCGTCCCTGCCCCCTAGTGTACTCCGCTCTGCTGGTCCTCACCTGGCATCAGATGCCGCGCCAGAATCAAAACGTTCCGTGGGGGAAGTGGGGCGTTGCTCCTGACTAGGGTTCATTCAGAGTCAACATTGGCCCCGTGGCGATAGACATTGGATTTCTATCTAAACGCCATTAGCGCACTGCACGCAGATTGAAAGCCCGGCACCGATCGCCTCATACATGGAATGGAGTAGTTTCGCCATGAGCCGCACCAGCCGCCGCGTTAGCCGCTCTCCTAGTGCCAGGCTGCGATGGTAGTAGACTCGTTTAGCGCAAGCAACAGCAGCGCCACCACTAGCCGCAGCAGCAGCAGCAACATGAGCTCGTCTGTTGCCCCCTGGTGGACCACCCTAGAAGTAGGCCCTCCCGGCACATTACTCTATCGCATCCTCTTCTTAGACTCGCAATACCGCGCGTTTTCCCCCTGGCACGATATTCCCCTTCATGTCTCCGAGTACCCGTCCACTGCCGCCGCACCCTCCGCCGCCGCCGCCGCCGCCGCATCCGCGCACCCTCCCCCTTCGGGCCTGTCGTTTCTCTGCGTGACCCCGCGGGGAACCTGGGCTACGTATGAGGTGGCGCAAGACGAGAACTTTAACCCTATCCGTCTCGCGAAGCGCAATGCCGCGCCAGCGCATTTCGCGGAGAACTGTCACTGGAACATGGGGGTCTTCACGCAGACGTGGGCGGATCCCGCGGCGGCCAACGACCACCTCAGCGGCTTGCACTACGACGCGCGCCCGCTGCACGTCCTCGATATAAGCCGCCGCGCTGCGCGCCCCGGCGACGTGTACCCCGTAAAGCCGCTCGCAGCCTTCGCTGTAATCACCCTCGCTGCACCCGGCGCCGCAACGCCCGCCGCCGCAGCCGCGACGGATGCGGCAGCGGCAACCGCAACGGCAGCGGCAGCGGCGGGGGGCGCGGACGCGGACGCGGGAGGCGTGGTAGTGGGAGCGCCTGTGTGCGTGTCGTGGAATGTGGTGGCGGTGGCGAGCGACGATCCCCTGGCGAAGGAGCTGCAAGACGTGGCGGACGTGAGCAAGAAACTGCCGGGCGTGCTGGAGGAGATTCGCGAGTGGCTGCGACTGTGCGAGTGCAAAGAAGCAGGTGCGAGCTCGCCCTAACAGATTAGTTTTCCGTTTTTTCGGTTTTATTGTTTTGTTTTTTTCTTTACCTTTTTTTCTGTTTTTCCCGGCCCTTCGCTCTCCTCCTTCTGCTCGCTTAGACTATTTCCTAGTTTCGTACTGGTTCTCTTCTCCTCTCTTTCTCCGTGCCGGCCGGCCTCTCTCCTCTCGCCGTCGGATGATACTGCGTCCTGGCTATTTGCGAGTACGCGGTACAGTTAGCGCACGACGTCCTTATACGAAGTCAGGGCAGAGCCAGAACGAACCGAGACCTGAGCACATGACCCTGGCCCACGCTGCACTCTCTCTGCCGCTCTCGCATACATGCATGCATGCATGCAGCCAGCTATGGAAAAATAAAAGAGAGTGTATGCATATCGTATGCATTTTACATCCTTCACGAGACGCCTCAGAACTCGTGTCACATGCTTCCGTCAGCTTCGCCCTCCTACTACCTCCTTTCTCCTTTCGCCCACTGTGCGGCTCTCCGCCCCCCATCTTCCCCTACCTCCTACCCTCGCCTTCCCCTGGCGCGTCTGCACTCTATGTTGGCCTTTCCTCTCGCCCCTCCCGCAACCGACACCCGCAGAAGGCGGGGTCGTCGCACAGGTGTAATCCGAGTCAGCTCGGAATACACCTGCAGTGATGGCGACACGTAACGTACCCTTTCGCGCCCAACTCACCCCTTCGTTCCCCGTAGTTCCGTTAGTCGATTTTTGAGGCGCCTAAAAATAAGAGTCCTCTCCCCGCCGCGCTCCTTTCCCCGAACCTCCTCGTAGTCTCGGCCTGCCTCGCCAGCCATGTCGTCGCAGTGCTCCTCTCGCGCCTCTCCTAGTCCCCTCCCCGCCTCCGAGTACCCAGCGACGAGGGCCGCCTGTTCGAGCTCAAGCGCGCATCAAGCCGCAAAAGCTCAACCACCGTCGTATAGCGCGTCCCACCGCTCCCATTTCTCTCTCCCTCGTAGCGAAGCGTCCTATTCACTTGCGCCGATATTCCGCCCGTCTCGCCTTCCTCCCCACGGGGCGACGAGGGCCTCGTTCTTCGTTTCAGCGAGCGCGCGTTGGACCGCAAGCGCCAGATGCCTTGTCTCCCGCGCGCGTTTGGCCGCAAGTGTAGCAAGTGTAGCGCCTATAGCGCCTACAGCGCCTATAGCGCCTACAGCGCGTGCCAGTGCTCCTTTCTCTCGGCCCGATCCCGGTTTCTCTCTCGCGCTGCGCCTCCCTCCCCCCATATCAGGCGACGAGGCCCGCGTGCTTCGTTTCAACGCCCGCGCCTTGGGCCGCGCAGGGCCGCAAGTATCGAAGCTCTTGCCCCTGGTTCTCCCCCCACCGCCCCCCCCCCCTCCCCCCCTCTCCCCCCGTACCAGGCGACGAGGCGCGCGTGTTCGGGTTCAACGACCGCGCGCTGGGGCGCAAGTACGTGGACGCGTGCATCACGGACTGCCACGCGGCGTGGCAGCGCCTGCACTCGTCGCTGCAGAAGCCCGAGCCGTGGCTCCCGCGCGCGCAGCCGCCCAAGGTGACGACCATCGAGGCGTTCTGGGCGCCGTACACGGGGAAGTACAGCGAGGGCGCCTGTAACGCGGACGACAGCACGCCCGCGGCGATCCCGCAGTCGAACCCGAATGCGGGAGCGGGCGGCGCGGCGAGCTTGTCTCCGCTCTCCGCGGCGGCGGACTCTCTGTGGGAGACGATGCCCGCGGAGTCCGCGCGGTCGATGCTGGCGCAGCTGCGCGCGCGAAAGCACCTTGCGCGGCCGGCGTTCTTCAACATGCGCGAGTTGCTGGAGATGGGGGACGCGGGGAAGAGCAAGGGCGCGGGGAAGGCCAGCAAGAGCGGCGGGCGGAGCAAGGGGAAGAGCGCCATGGGGAGCGGCAGGCGGGATGGGGGGGGCGTGGGCGGGGAGGGCGGCGGGGGGACGTTCGGCTTTCTTAAAAAGGGCCATGCGCATGCGCGTGGTAGTGACGGCGGTAAGGCGGGCGGAGCGTTACCGTCTCCGGTCGCCAAACCAGCGCCCCCTGTGACTGTTCAGGCGGAACCAGCAGCGGCTGTAGCCGCGGGAGCCCCGGGAGTAGGTTCCGCCCCCGCCGCCGCTGCTGCGACTGCCGTTGCTGCGCCAGCGGTGGTGGCAGTGGCAGCAGGGACTGCAGTGGCGGCAGGCGCAGCAGCAGCAGCAGCAGCAGCAGTGGTATCGACAGCAGATGCAGGCACTGCGGGAGCAGGTGAGGGGGCGAGCGAAGCAATGGCTGGTGCTGCAGCCACGGGCGGCGATGCTGCTGCTGCTACTGCTGCTGCTCAAACCCCAGCAGCAGCAGCAGCAGCAGCAGCAGCAGGAGCAGAAGGAGCAGTAGCGGCAGCAGCGGAAGCACCGGCAGCCACGGTAGCAGGAGCAGCAGCAGCAACGGGGTTGGCACCAGTGGTGAAAAGCCTTGGCGGAGTGGAGGAGGGGGAGGGGCGCGGAAGCAGCCTCCGCGGAGTTCCGGAAGGGGGGGCAGAGGGAGCTGACGCGGAAACAGAGGGCAACGCGGCTGCGGAGAAACGAGAGGGCGGAAGCGCGGATGGCGGGGAGCAGGCGCAGCAGCAGGGGGGGACTGACGGCGCAAAGGCGGGCGCAGGGGAGGCGGAGAGGGGGAGGAGGAAGTCGGAGGAGGGCGATAAGGAGCGAGAGGGTGTGGAGGGGGGATACGGGGGGGTGGGAAGGGTGGCGAAAAGGAGAGATATGGCGCGAACGAGGCGGAGAGAGAAGGGCGTTATGGGGGGGCAGGGCGGGAGCGAGATGGGGGAGTGCAGGAGGGGAGGAGTGCGGAGGACGGGGATGAGGGGGAGCGGAAGGAGAGGGCAGGGGGGGGAGAGGCGGCAGGGAGGGCAGGGGCGCCGGACGGGAGGAGGAGGAGGGCGAGGGGAGGAGGATGGGGGATGATGGGGATGGGGATGCGGACGGTGAGAGGGGTGGGGGGAGAAGAGTGCGGGATGGGGAGGGCAGGCGCGAGGGGAGGGACGGGCGGGACGATGGGGAGAGGAGGCCGGAGAGGGAGCGGGAGAGGGAAAGAGAGCGGGAGAGGGAGAGGGGGAGTGACAACGAGCGAGCAAGGGAGTCTGGTTACCGGGCTGATAGGGGGAGGCAGGAGCGCGATGAGAAGCACAAGCAGGGGGAGGCGGAGGGGGAGGGGGAGGGGGAGGGGGAAGGGGGGAAGCAGTCAGAGGAGTGGCGGGGGGAAAGGGGGATAGAGGGCAAAGAGGGGAGAGGGGGGGGCGTGTGGGGAGGGGTATGGGCGGGAGGGGGAGGAGGGGGAGAGGCAGGGGCTGGTGCGGCGGGACTCAGACGACCGTGACAGTGGGGGGAGGCGCGGCTTGGGGGGAGCGCGGGGGAGAGCAGGAGCAGGGGAAGGGGACGAGGCGGAGGGGGGGGATTACAGCCGGCAGTCCACGCAGGAGAGGGGCGGGGCCAGCCGACCAGCCACGGTACGTGCTTTGCTGATGATGAGTGGTATATCCATGGTAGGTATATCCATGGTAGGTATATCCATCCATGGTAGGTATATCCATGGTAGGTATATCCATCCATGGTAGGTATATCCATGGTAGGTATATCCATGGTAGGTATGGCCATGGTAGGTATATCCATGGTAGGTATATCCATCCATGGTAGGTATATCCATGGTAGGTATATCCATGGTAGGTATATCCATGGTAGGTATGGCCATGGTAGGTATTGCCATGGTAGGTATGGCCATGGTAGGGGAGGTACATGTTGTGGCACGCAAGGTAGGTGCGCCAGGTCCGTGCTGGGAGCTGACTGCTCCTTGCTGGGTGTCATGTCATGGCGCCATTGGGTGTGTGTGCTGAGGTGCCTGGCATGGCATTGTGAATGGTGCTGTGCTGCGTGGTTGCATTGAGATTGCCTTAGTGTGTGAACAAGGAAGGAAAACGATAAGGCAAAAGTTAACCCCCTTGCAACCACCAGCACACCAACGAGAACCGTATGCTGAACGAGAACCCCCTCAGAATCCTGGGCTCCCTTTCCTCTCTCCCCCCCCTCCCCCCCTTCCCTCTCACACTCTCTCACTCACCGCTTCCGGTCCCTCCCAACTGAAACGAGCTGTGCAATCATCTCATGGCCAATGAAGTTTGAGCTTGCAAGCAATCCCTCCTGGAGGATTTTCTGGACAGATAGCCAGGAGACTGGCCAACTGCATGTGCCTGGTAGACATGCGCTCTCTTTTGGCGCCATAGAGCTGTGTGGCATGACGCCATGGCTGGCTGGTTCCTCTCTGGATTGTGTCAGTGATGGGCGCACACACTGAGTCTGACATTGGGCCCATCACCAAATGACTCCATCCATGGACGTTCCTTTCTGCCTTCTGCGCATGCATCCACCCATCCACCCATCCATCCATCTACATTTCCTCCCCTCCCCACCCCCTTCCCCACCCCCCTCCTCCCCCCCACAGGAGGGTCAGAGGCGGCCCACAAAGCCGGGGGCCACGTGGGCGAAGCTCAAGTGGCAGGAAAAGGACGGTGCCGACAACGACAGCACCGCCAACAGCCGCTCACCCGCCTCCTCCTCCACCGCGCGCCACCACGCGCACCAGAACGGCCGCGACGGCCAGCGCAGCACCACGGCGAGCAGCAGCCTAATGGCGCAGCGGGAGGAGCTCCGCGCCGAGCTCTTCCAGAAGTCCCTCTCCGGTAACCGCGCGCCGCTCCCCACGCTCGTGCGCCGTGCCAGCCTGGAGTCGGCGGAGCCGGGGGGGACGCGCGGGCCGCGCATCCGGGGGCGGCCGGGGGGGGCGCGCATGCTGCACCGCACGCTGACGGAGGAGCAGCAAGATGAGGGGCGCGGGTCGTTCATGGAGGAGCGCAGTGCGGACGTGCGCGACAGCGCGCTCTACAGGACGCTCTCGGGGCAGAGCGGGCAGCCCGAGATCCACGGCATGACGGCTTACCGCCGCGGGATCGGGGGAGCAGGGGCTGGTGGTTTCGGTGTGGGTGGGGGGAGGGAGGGGAGCAGATGGGCGCCTGGGGGCGGGGCCGGGACGCTGGGGAGGAGGGAGTCAGGCGAGTGGTCGGACGAGGGGGGCCTGTCGGGTGGGGAGGGGTCGGGGCCGGTGCTGCAGCGCACCAACACGAATGACAGCCTCAAGTCGGCGGGCGTGCGCAGCGAGGCGGGCATCAGCATCGGGCGCGCGCCCGCCTATATGATGATGATGCGCGACGGCCACATGCGCGAGGGGGGATTGGGGCTCATGCGGGATAACAGCGGGGGAGGGGGAGGGGGAGGGGGAGGGGGAGGGGGGAACCGGCTGCTGCGCAAGCACCTGAGTGGGCAGGGGGCGGGGCTAGGTACGTTCCATGGGGAGGAGGAGATGGAGGAGGAGAGGGCAGGGTGGGGCCGGGCCAGGCGGTACGAGCACGACAGGGAGAGGGGTGCGGGGGAGGGGTGGCAGGGGGACATTGGCCGCGACCGCCGGCACAGCCCCACCCGCGCAGGGGAGTATGAGGGGAGGGCAGGGAGAGGGGGCGGCGGAGGGAGGCGCGGGAGGGGGGAGGCGCGGGATGGCGGGGGGAACTCAGGGAGTTTGGGAAGCGTGGGGGGAGAGAGGGGAGGGAGTCAGGCGTCTCGTAGTCCGCGGGGGAAGAGAGGGGAGGAGGATGGAACTGCGTGGAAGGAGCATGAGGAGGATGATGAGGATGAGGGAAGCCCTAACTTCAGTCCTGTGAGGGGCATGGGCAAGGCAGGCGCTATTGCTGCTGCGAGGAGGGAGAAATGCCAGGATTAAGGGGCCGGGAGTGGTATGGGTGGGTGTCTGAGTGTGCATGGGCGTGACTTGGTTAGAGAAGGGGTAAAATCGAGATGACATGAGGAATTGGTGTTTGTCTGTTCTCTGGTCTGTCCCTTGAAGCTTCTGTATGGCGCTTTTGTGTGGTTTGATTGTGGTTCATATTAGGGAGGGAGGGGGGATGGACAAGCCGGTCTTGTAGCCAGGAGGATTAGGTACCTGAGTCGGCATGCACTAAACGCTACTTGAATGTGCATGGTATGTGGTTCTGACGGTAGATAGTGCCACATATAGGATGGTTCATGCTTGTTGCACTTGTAGACGTTTAATGCTTTCTCTAGGTTGCTTAGTGATGATTAATGCCTTCGATACAAGCTGTGTAGTTGTAAGTTATTAGTATTCTGTAGTAGAAGTGGCATGTATTGAACTGTTCTAGCATGTTCAAATGCTGGAAAGGGATACGCAATGGACATTTGTAGAGCGCCCTACAGGGCGGTTATGACAGCCTCGAATTCTTGCCACGTGTCAGTTTCCACAGAGGTGGGAGGCTCCCTGCTGGATGTGTCAGCGAGCAGGCGTGATTGCAGTGAAGCTCGCTGCGATTGGCTGCGAAACCCTGCGACTGGCTGCATTACAATCGGAAGTCTCGCGTGCTGCTCTGCTGGTCGCCTGCGACGCCTCCATTGGGTGTTGCGTGTGCGGCAAGTGCACCCTCTCGGGGTCTTAGCTTCAGCAGTCAAATCAGTGGGAAATATTCTTTCTTTTGCCGTCAACACGTGCGAGTGATGTCTTGGGGACCTTTTAGAGGCTCGGAGCCAAACAGCCAGCCATATAAACCAGACATCTGAACCTGCTGTGAAACGAAACATTTCGCGCTAGCTTAGGTACGCAAAAAACATGCAAGCAGGCTGCCCCGGGCAAACAGGAATAAACCCATAGGGGCCTGCTTGCCGTTTGGGGATGGGTAAACCCTCGACTAGCGGAAGTATGTTTCGTGGGATGAGTTCGGTACAGCTGGATGAAGGGGGTTAGGCTGCCTCGGTAACTTTCAAACGTATAGAAACGCGCCACGTCATCATGATAGCAGCACTAGTAAATATCCCCAGTGAGTTGACTGCAAAAGCTAAAACCCCCACTCTCTCCCCCCGCGCGTCTGCTTTTGAGTCGCCAGGCCAGGCAAAGTCGCCTCAAAAGCACCCATGCCGACAGATTCGAGCACACACCTCTGTGAACTCGCACCCTTCCATTCATTCCACTCCCTTGCTCCCTCAGATTTCTTGCCACTTATCTTTTGCGCTACTGAGTTCATCTCTCGGCGATTATCGGCTGGGCTTGCTGTGGCCGTCCTCTCGAGTAGCTTATTGTCGTCCGCTGTGAGAGCTTGAAACGCTGGGTCACGGTTGACGCCATGGCCGATTCTCTATCCGCAGAGACCGCCACGCCGGCAGCGTCTGCTCCTGTGAGGGACCGCCCGTTCGGCAGGACGAAATCCGTCAGGGAGCTGCTTGGCGGCGGCAAGGGTGAGAGGCACATGTTGAGCGATTCATCCCGGGATCGCTGGAGACGCAACGATCAATATGTCTTTTGAATCCATCCCGAAGCCCATCCCAATTATCCCGATCCTGCTTGCCGTTTCTCGTTTGCCCGTTTCGGTTTGATTTTCGCTCGTTGCCTTTCTTGCTCTTGAAATCCGCTCGGCCGCGCGCTCCTTTCCCCTCCCGCTCCACGCATCCCCTGCGAATATTAAATTCCAGCGGCGGATGTGCTTCTATGGAAGGATTGGAAGTCGAGCGCGGGAATCCTGGTATCGGTGGCGGGGCTGTGGATCGTGTTCGAGCGGTCGGGCTTCACGCTGCTCACGATCCTCGCGGACGTGCTCATGATCCTCATCTCCCTCGTCTTCGCCTGGGCTCAAGTATCCTCGTTATTGAATAAGTGAGCTTTCGTTATGTGCTCGTCTCATCCTGGTTCGTGTCGAGCTGATCGCCACGTGGTGGCGTCAGTCGTGCCGTCTCGCGGTCCCGTCGTTACCTTAGCAGGTGTCTCGGATCGTCTTAATTGACCGTTACAGCTTCTTTGAAGATTTCTTAATCGTCCTGCAGTATCCAGAATTTGGCGCACGACGTTATCGCTCCGTTCGTGTTTCTTCTCGGTCTTACTTCACCCATCAATTCATCATTTCTTGTCTATCTCTCCCTGGATCTGTGCAGGCCCGGCCCGGCGTTCCCCGCGCTGAGGCTCTCGGAGGACGTGGTTCGCTCGACGGCGCTGCGTCTGCGGGACCAGGCGAACCGCGCGCTGCTGCTGGCGCACGACGTGGCTCTGGGCAAGGACTACATGCTGCTCATCAAGGTGCTGCGCCCGCCCTTCCTCGCCCGCTTCTCCGCCCAGCTCTTTCCCTCCGTTGATTTGCATGCCCTTGTTTGCACCACTGCTGCTGATTCAGGGAATTTTCATAAGTTCGCTTCGCCCTCTGTTGGCGCGACACTGTGCAGGTTCTGAGCACGCTCTACCTGATCTCCGTGGTGGGGGGGTGGTTCCACTTCCTCACACTCGTCTTCACTGGTAAGTCGCGCCGCCCTCGTGGCACCCCGCCGCCGTCGTTCCCTCGGGTTAAGAATCTTTCTTACCCCTCCTCCCTTATCCTCCTCATTTCCCCCCAACCGTTCTCTCGTTCCTCCTCCCCTTCCCCCCTTCCCTCACTGGTCCATCCCTCGCTCCCTCTGGCCTCTGGCTATCCCCCACTCCCTGCCTGTTTTTCCTGTCGAAAATCGTGTCACCTTCAACCCTCTCCATTTGTTTCTGCACCAGGCGTGCTGGTGGCCTTCACCCTGCCGCTGTTGTACGACCGGTATGAGGACCAGGTGGACGCGCACCTCTCTCAGGCGCTGGCGCAGATTAGCCACGCCAAGAGCCTGCTGGAGGACAAGATGGGGGGCCTGCTCAAGAAGCAGAAGCAGAAGAAGGTGGAGTAGCGGATTAGAGGAGTAGAGGGGGGTGGAGTTAGGGAGGTTTGTCCTGCGCGTGGATATGCACTGAATTGGTGGTCCTGTACAGGTTTTTGGAAGTTGGGAATATGAAGTTCCATATGGTAGATGGTGCCCTTGGTGTTTGTTTTAACAGAGCGGTACACCTGTTTTCAGGCTTCTTAAAACCTCTGTTGCCCTCCTCGAGCAAATGCAACTTGGGCTGTTGGAGCAAATGCTGTAGAAAAGTGTGCAGCCAGCGCGTGAGGACCCCTGCAGGTCACAGTGCTGCTGGAAAACATCTCTTTCGAACTCTGGGCAATTGATTGTTATGACAGGGTCGCCTCGCCAGCAGTGGATGGACGCACATGTGTCCTCCATTGCATGAGTGGGAAAAAACAGTGCTCGGCAGTCATTCTGCAGGCACGCGTCACACATCTACCGAAACATTATTCCCAGGCATCAATGAAACAGAGATCTTACGTAACCATGGGATTCCTTTGCACTGCATCCCCGGCTGATACACTGTATGTCGCTCGTGGCCATACCAGAGAAGCACCCTGACGCATCAGGGCATGCAGTGACCGAGCACTATGAGAAAACAGGCCTGGCAGAGAAGAACTAACTGGCCCTATAGTTGAGTTCGCTTGGGTACACTATGCCTCCCGAACAAACTCCTGCACAGCTATGCCTGTGTGTCTGCCCTCGCTCTGCTGCACCGCCAGCAGCAACTGATCACCCTCCTTGAGCTCACTCACTGACACCGACCCTGCTGCTGAAGATGCAGGGCCTGTAGGGAGAGGAAGGTGGAAAAGGGGTGGGGGTAATGGGGTCGCAGGGGGGTAAGTGTGAGTAATTAGTGAGCATGCTTGTACGGTATGTGTACGAATGAGTGCATGTACATGCATAAATGACTTAGTCGTACAGCCAGGCAAGAAGGGAGGCAGCCAACAGGTGAGGGAGGCAATGGGCAGGCAGGAAAGCATGGCAGGTGCAGGCCGGGTACAAGGGCACGAACCGGAGGGGTCAATGGGAGAGACGAGGCGAACTGTCTCCGCGTTCTGCAGGATAATGGAAAAGCTGCCATCGTGCCCAGGCACCTGCGACACACACACACACACACACGCACACACACACACACACACACACACACACACACACACACACACACACACACACACACACAGAGAGACAAAGGGAGAGAAGGTGCAGTGAGTGGATGTCAAGGAGGGTTTTTGGGGCACCACCGGAGCATGGAGTTAGTGAGCGGGGAGGATTTGGCAAGGCAGACACCCCGAACACAGAGCACACTGCACACGGGCAGTGCCCAACATGAGTGCAACGCATCCATCAGCCATGACTCTGCACACCGCCACTTGCACCCAACCACACATGCCTCGTACTCAAGGTGGCATGGCCAACGTGACGAGCTGCCAGCGAGCCACATCCTCAGGCTGGCGGGGCGGCTGAGGCAAGGGGTAGTGGTGAGAGACAGGCAGCAGCAGCAGTGGCAGCAGCAGCACAGGGTGGACGCCCGAGAACTCATTCCGGAGCCCCCGAACTCATTCCGGCGCCCACAAACTCATTCTGGCGCCCACGAACTCATTCTGGCTCCCGCCCACGCACTCTCCTGCCCACCCACTCTCCCGCCCACCCGCTCTCCCGCCCTCCCACTCTCCCGGCCACCCGCTCTCCCGCCCACCCGCTCTCCAGCCCACCCGCTCTCCTGCCCACCCGCTCTCCCGCCCACCCGCTCTCCCGCTCTCCCGCCCACCCGCTCTCCCGCTCTCACGCTCTCCCGCTCTCCCGCCCACCCGCTCTCCCGCCCACCCGCTCTCCCGCCCACCCGCTCTCCCGCCCACCCGCTCTCCCGCCCACCCGCTCTGCCCGCCCTCCCACTCTCCCGCTCTCCCCCCCACCCGCTCTCCCACTCTCCCGCTCTCCCGCTCTCCCGCTCTCCCGATCTCCCGCCCACCAGCTCTCCCGCCCACCCGCTCTCCTGCCCACCCGCTCTCCCGCTCTCCCGCCCACCCGCTCTCCCGTCCACCCGACCACCAGCTCTCCCGCCCACCCGCCCACCTGCTCTCCCGCCCACCCGCTCTCCCGCTCTCCCGCTCTCCCACTCTCAGTCCCACCCGCTCTCCCGCTCTCCCGCTCTCCCGCCCACCCGCTCTCCCGCCCCGCTCTACCGCCCACCCGCTATCCTTCCCACCCGATCTCCCGCCCACCCGCTCTCCCGCCCACCCGCTCTCCCGCCCATCCGCTCTCCTGCTCTCCTGCCCACCCGCTCTCCCGCTCACCCAATCTCCCGCCCACCCGCTCTCCCGCCCACCCGCTCGCCCCCCCTCCCACTCTCCCGTCCAACCGCCCTCACGCCCACCCGCTCTCCCACCAACCCGCTCTTCCACCCACCCGCTCTCCCGCCCACCCGCTCTCCCGCTCTCCCGCTCACCCGCTCTCCCGCCCACCCGCTCTCCCGCCTTCCCGCTCGCCCACCCTCCCGCTCTCCCGCCCAACCGCTCTCACGCTCACCCGCTCTCTCACTCACCCACTCTCCCGCCCACCCGCTCTCCCGCCCACCCACTCTCCCGCTCTCCCGCTCTCCCGCTCTCCCGCTCTCTCCCCCACCCGCTCTCCCACTCTCCCGCTCTCCCGCCCACCCGCTCTCCCGCCCACCCGATCTCCTGCCCACCCGCTCTCCCGCCCACCCGCTCTCCCGCTCTCTCGCTCTCCCGCTCTCCCACTCAACCCCCCACCCACTCTCCCGCTCTCCCGCTCACGAACTCATTCTGACGCCCACAAACTCATTCTGGCGCCCACGAACTCATTCTGGCGCCCACGAACACATTCTGGTACCCACGAACTCATTCTGGCGCCCACGAACTCATTCTGGCGCTCGCGAACTCATTCTTGCACCCGCAAACTCTTTCTGGCGCCCCCGAACTCATTCTGGCGCCCACGAACTCATTCTGGCGCCCGCGAACTCATTCCGGCGCACCAAACTCTTTCTGGCACCCGCGAACTCATTCTTGCACCCGCGAACTCATTCTGGCGCCCGCGAACTCATTCTGGCGCCCGCGAAATCATTCTGGCGCCCACAAACTCATTCTGGCGCCAGCGAACTCATTCTGGCCCCCAGGAACTCATTCTGGCGCCCACGAACTCATTCTTGCACACGTGAACTCATTCTGGCGCCCGCGAACTCATTCTCGTGCCCACGAACTCATTCCGCATTCCACAAACTCATTCGCCGCCCACGAACTCATTCCGGCGCCCGCAAACTCATTCTTGCGCCCGCGAACTCATTCTTGCGCCCGCGAACTCATTCTGGCGCCAGCGAACTCATTCTGGGCCCCAGGAACTCGTTCTGGCGCCCACGAACTCATCCTGGTGCCCACGAACTCATTCTGGCTCCAACGAACTCATCTGCCGCCCACGAACTCACTCCGGGGCCCGCGAACTCATTCTGGCGCCCACAAACTCTTTCTGGCACCTGCGAACTCATTATGGCGCCCACGAACTCATTCTGGCACCCACAAACTCATTCTGGCGCGCGCAAACTCATTCTGGCGCCCACGAACTCAATCTTGCGCCCGCGAACTCATTCTTGCGGCCACGAACTCATTCCGGCGCCCACGGACTCATTCTGGCGCCCACGGACTCATTCTGGCGCACAAGAACTCATTCTGGCGCCCACGAACTCATTCTGGCGCCCACAAACTCATTCTGGCGCCCACAAACTCATTCTGGCGCCCACGAACTCATTCTGGAGCCCACGAACACATTCTGGTACCCACGAACTCATTCTGGCGCCCACGAACTCATTCTGGCGCTCGCGAACTCATTCTTGCACCCGTGAACTCATTCTTGCACCCGCGAACTCATTCTGGCGCCCGCGAACTCATTCTGGCGCCCGCGAACTCATTCTGGCGCACACAAGCTCATTCTGGCGCACACAAGCTCATTCTGGCGCCCATAAACTCTTTCTGGCGCCCGCAAACTCTTTCTGGCGCCCCCGAACTCATTCTGGCGCCCACGAACTCATTCTGGCGCCCGCGAACTCATTCCAGCGCACCAAACTCTTTCTGGCACCCGCGAACTCATTCTTGCACCCGCGAACTCATTCTGGCGCCCACGAACTCATTCTGGCGCCCGCGAACTCATTCTGGCGCCCACGAACTCATTCTGGCGCCCACGAACTCATTCCGGCACCCGCGAAATCATTCCGGCGCACGTAACCATTCTGGCGCCCGCGAACTCATTCTTGCACACGTGAACTCATTCTGGCGCCCGCGAACTCATTCTCGTGCCCACGAACTCATTCCGCATTCCACAAACTCATTCGCCGCCCACGAACTCATTCCGGCGCCCGCAAACTCATTCTTGCGCCCGCGAACTCATTCTTGCGCCCGCGAACTCATTCTGGCGCCCGCAAACTCATTCTGGCGCCAGCGAACTCATTCTGGCCCCCAGGAACTCATTCTGGCGCCCACGAACTCATCCTGGTGCCCATGAACTCATTCTGGCTCCAACGAACTCATCTGCCGCCCACGAACTCATTCCGCCTCCCGCTAACTCATTCTGGCGCCCGTGAACTCATTCTTGCGCCCACGAACTCATTCTGGCGCCCGCGAACTCATTCTGGCGCCCGCGAACTCATTCTGGCGCCCACAAACTCATTCTGGCGCCCGCGAACTCATTCTGGCGCCCACGAACTCATTCCGCATTCCACAAACTCATTCCGCCGCCCAGGAACTCAATCCCGCGCCCGCGAACTCATTCAAGCGCCCGCGAACTCATTCCGGCGCCCGCAAACTCATTCTTGCGCCTGCGAGCTCATTCTGGCACCCGCGAACTCATTCCGGCGCCTGCGAACTCATTCTGGCGCCAACGAACTCATTCTGGCGCCCACGAACTCATTCTGGTGCCCACGAACTCATTCTGGCGCCCGCGAACTCATTCCGGTGCCCGCGAACTCATTCTTGCGCACGCGAACTCATTCTTTCGCCCGCGAACTCATTCTGGCGCCCGCGAACTCGTTGTGGCCCCCGCGAACTCATCCTGGCGCCAACGAACTCATTCTGGCGCCCACAAACTCATTCTGGCGCCCGCGAACTCATTCTGCCCCCGCGAACTCATTCTGGCGCCCGTTAACTCATTCTAGCGCCCACGAACTCATTCCACCTTCCACAACTCATTCCGCCGCCCGCGAACTCACTCAAGCGCCCGCGAACTCATTCCGGCGCCCGCGAACTCATTCTTGCGCCCGCGAACTCATTCTGCCCCCGCGAACTCATTCTGGCGCCCGTTAACTCATTCTGGCGCCCACGAACTCATTCCACCTTCCACAACTCATTCCGCCGCCCGCGAACTCACTCAAGCGCCCGCGAACTCATTCCGGCGCCCGCGAACTCATTCTTGCGCCCGCAAACTTATTCTGGCACCCGCGAACTCATTCCGGAGTCCGCGAACTCATTCCGGGGCACACGAACTCATTCTGGCGCCCACGAACTCATTCTGGTGCCCACGAACTCATTCTGGCGCCTACGAACTCATTCTGCCGCCCACGAACTCATTCCGCCTCCGCGAACTCATTCTGGCGCCCGCGAACTCATTCTTGCGCCCGCGAACTCATTCTGGCGCCCACGAACTCATTTTGGCGCCCGCGAACTCATTCTGGCGCCCGCGAACTCATTTTGGCGCCCGCGACCTCATTCTGGCGTCCACGGCGCCCAAGGTCTCTCTTCCCAAGGCCTCACTTCTCAAGGTCTCACTTCCCAAGGTCTCACTTCGAAAGGTCTCACATACCAAGGTCTCACTTCCCGAAGTCTCACTTCCCAAGGCCTCACATCCAAAGGTCTCACATCCCTAGATCTCACTTCCCAAGGTCTCACTTCCCAAGGTCTCACTTCCCTAGGTCTCACTTCCCAAGGTTTCACTTCCCGAAGTCTCACTTCCCTAGGTCTCACATCTGAAGGTCTCACATCCCTAGATCTCACTTCCCAAGGTCTCACTTCCCTAGGTCTCACTTCCCAAGGTCTCACTTCCGGAAGTCTCACTTCCCTAGGTCTCACTTCCCTATGTCTCACTTCCCTAGGTC